GCACACATATGTCATACATTTATTCACATTATATATTAAAATATGAATTAAGTATATTAAAAATAGAGAAAATTACAAATTTGGTCCCAGAACTTTTGTTGTTTCCCACATTTGGTCCCAGCCACGCCAATTATGGTCCTTATTGAATTTTCGTTGCCAAAATGGTCCCACGTCCGTCAAGATTGACGGGGTTCATGTGAGGACGTTAGATTGGACCAATTTTGTTTTCCAAAAAAAAAAAAAAAAATGAGTTCTTCAAGTTCTTTAAGTCTCTCTCATTCACTCAAAGCCGAAATGACATAATAAAATTAATTTACTATAAATATGGTGCGAGAAATAAATATTAAAAATAATTTTATAAAAATAAATATCGGGAAGAAAAGTAAGTGCGTTGATAAATTTTAATTTGGGGTGGAAAAGTAAACGATACAATTGCTAATTGAGTGGTATTTATTTTATTTTCTAATATTTTTACCATCATTAATTAAAAAATATTGACAATTATTTGAATATTATTTAAATTAAAGAATAATTAGAAATAATATTATTTTAATTAAATAAAGCAAACCAAAAGACATAATCCAATTTATCAAAATAAGAAAAAATGTGAGTATGCTTACAATAGTACTAATCCGTCTACACTTTTAAATATTAGTATAATGTGATAATTTATATATATCCTTACAAACTTTATAAAATAATACGAATTAAAAAAAACTAATCTAAACTATTTTTTTTATTACTGTCTATTTTTATTTTAATAATTTTTTATTTATTAATTTGATTTTGACAACTATAAGTAGAAAAATCTATTTATTTATGCAAATTACATCTATATAAAAATTTTTAATTTTAAGCATAATAAAACAAAATTTGACATTAAATTAAGTGAAAATAGACATTTGTCCCACTTATTTATAGTAAAATATATCATATATTTTTTTTATATCTCATTTATCATGAACTAATTAATAACATTATTTTATACACCTTTTGTTAAGTTGCCCAATTAAATAATTATTTTATGTAATAAAATCTAGTTAAACTTTAATTTACAAAAAAAAAATGTGAAAGAATTGTATGTTAGTTATATTTATCTTTTATAATTTATTAAAAAAATAAACTAAATGTATTGTTAGGAAAGAATGGTAAAATACCTTTTTAATATTTACTAAAAATTTTTTTAAAAAATGTTTCTAATAAAAATAAAAATAAATAATTTTTATCACTTACTCTTTGATAAAATTGCAAATTTGGTCCCAGAACTTTTGCTGTTTCCCACATTTGGTCCCAAGCTATAAACGTTGACTATTAAGTCTTGATGGAGTAAGACCATTTTGGTAACGAAAATTCAAAAAGCACCATAATTGGCGTGTCTGGAACCAAATGTGAGAAACAACAAAAGTTATGGGACCAAATTTATAATTTTTCTCATTAAAAATATATGCAACTATTGAAAAATGTTTATACAAAACCATTAAGTAGCGTTATGAATTAAGTACAAGTTAACTTCTTTAGTTCTTTTAGATATCAGTTTCAAAGTCCATAAAAATCATGTCAAAGAAAAATTAATTTTTGAACCATACTTAATAATACCTATTAATACTGAGCAAGACGTACACTACAAACGTCTAAATTCACTTAATGACCAACGACCACACAAAACGTCTAAAACACGACCAAACTGCTTTACCCTAACTAATTAAAGTTTATTTAACTACTCAATAAATAAGAGCGAAAAAAAAAAAGAGACAAAAAAAAGAAATAATAGAGGCTGTAAAAGTAAAACAGAAACTGAAAGGACACGTGTCTGCCATCTCTCTCTCGTTGAGAAAATTAAACAAAAGTGCGAGAATAAGAAGAAACCCCCAAATCTTCTCTCATACACAGTACACACACCCCTAATTACGACGTCCTTCGCTTCCCTCAGATCGCCGTGCATTAGCCGCAGCCACCGATGGGGAAAGGCGGAGCACTCTCCGATGGAGTGGTGAAGAACATCATCCTCTCCTACACCTACGTCGCCATCTGGATCTTCCTCTCCTTCTCCGTCATCGTCTACAACAAGTACATCCTCGACCGCAAGCTCTACAACTGGCCTTTTCCTATCTCCCTCACCATGATCCACATGGCCTTCTGCTCCTCCCTCGCTTTCGCCGCAGTCCGCATCTTCAAGCTCGTTGAGCCCGCCGCCCTCACCCGCCGCGTCTACCTCACCTCAGTCCTCCCCATCGGCGCCCTCTACTCCATGTCCCTCTGGCTCTCCAACTCCGCCTATATCTACCTCTCCGTCTCCTTCATCCAGATGCTCAAAGCCCTCATGCCCGTCGCCGTTTATTCCATCGGGATCTTGTTCAAAAAGGACAGCTACAAAGGCAGTACGATGTCCAATATGCTCGCGATTTCCTTTGGAGTCGCGATCGCCGCTTATGGAGAGGCAAAGTACGACTCTTGGGGGGTGTTTCTGCAGCTGGGTGCCGTTGTCTTCGAGGCAACAAGGTTGGTGTTGATTCAGATCTTGTTGACCTCCAAAGGGATCAATTTAAACCCTATCACCTCTCTTTACTATGTGGCTCCTAGCTGTTTGGCGTTCCTTTCAGTCCCATGGCTGATGGTGGAGTATCCGGTTTTGAAGCAACATTTTTCTGGATTTCATTTTGATTTTGTGATTTTTGGGACTAATTCATTGTGTGCTTTTGCATTGAATTTGGCTGTGTTCTTGTTGGTTGGAAAGACTTCGGCTTTGACCATGAATGTGGCTGGTGTGGTGAAGGATTGGTTGTTGATTGCTTTCTCTTGGTCTGTGATTAAGGATACCGTGACGCCGTTGAATTTGTTTGGGTACGGGCTTGCGTTTTTGGGCGTGGGGTATTACAATCACTCGAAATTGCAAGCTTTGAAGGCAAAGGATGCTCAGAAAAAGGCGCAAATGGCAGATGAGGAGGAAGGGAAGCTGTTGGGAGAGGGCAATGGAGAAGGAAATGAGAAGAAGGGAGACTCACATGCCTAAGTCGAAAATTACCTTTGAGAAAGGTGAAATTTAGAAAAAAAGACAAAATAGTATTACTTGGAATAAATGTGAAGAAGAAATTTGTGCTCTGCAGGTTTGATATGATGTTTCCCAGTGGATGTTTTGTGATTAGGCTAATCGGTTAACTTGCGACCTTAGGAAAGCACATTTCTTCATCATGATGCTGGTTTATGTATCACCAGTTAAGTAGTATTCTAATTTGTTTTAGGTTTGATATGTCTTTTCCATGTGGATTTTGCAGTTTATCTCCCTTATGTGTTGGTCACGGCACTTGTGGTCCGTTCATTTCTGACACTTGAGTCTTATGTATTACACATAACATTTTGCCTGAAACTTATGCAATGTTTCACCTTTCTTTTACTTTTATGGAGTGAAGACTTTAGCCTTTGAAAAATCTAAGTTGATGTGTATTGGCGAATGATTTTTGCTTTGCATTAGTCTTTTCCAAGTGAACAATTTGAAAATCCCAAGATAATGTGGTTTTAGCTGGTTGTCCATTGCAAATGGAGCTGGAAGAGTCATTGTTGACAATTCTCCTGGCATAGTGCTAATAATGGACTAGATCAAAATGGCTCAATTAAATTCTAGTGCTTCTTCTATTAGTGAAGTTTCTAGAAAAAAAAAATTATCAAACGGCGCAATGCACCTTGGGTCGCTACGGAAACAGCCTCCTTGTATAATTACAAGGGTAAGGTCTGCGTACAACTGACCCCCCAACCCCTCAGACCCCAACCTGTTGGGAATATATTGGGTATGTTGTTGTTGTTGTAATGTGGTTTTAGCTGGGACAGATCTAAGACCCATGAGTTATTGCCTGCAATACTCTCTCTTTTCCATTCGTCATGTATTAGCCTATTAGGTGTCAGGGAATCAGAATCTCAAATTCTTTGTATTTTGTTATCTGGGATGGATTATATGTCTGTTTCTTTTCGATCTTATTCTTATGAGTTCAAGAAATGGAAAGTTGTGATGTACTCTAGGTGTGCGAGTGTCCTCCCATGGTGGTGGTTGGTGAATTATTATTGGTATAAATTGTTTAATGGTTTGCAACACTTGGCGAGCAAGTTCTGTCTAATAGTTGACTTGGCACTTGGCAGAAGATGATACCTAACTTGTGTATATTTAAGTTAAGAATTCTGTTGGGATAACACAATGTAGTAGCTAGAAAGACCTCACATGCTAGTGATCTTGAGTCATAACTACCATAGTTTTTGTTAAATCACAGAAAGTTGCGTTTTTTCTACATTAGTCTAGTTCGTGAGTAAAAGTGTTCCACCAAGTTCTGTATATTCAAATGATAAGAGTCCGTTTGTTTGTTTTATTTTTTATTTTTCCATTTATTTATAATTAGACTAAATCACCCTGGGCTTATTTTCTTCTGTATCAAGAGCATTTTTACATGATTTAGTTTATTTCTGTCACCTAGAATTTGCTGTCTTTGACGTGGTATTCCTTGGAATTCAAATCTAACAAGAACATGTGAGCCCCAGCAGAATTTCTAGTAAATGGGCAACACACTATTGCCAGTTTTGTGCATGGAGGCCAGTTGATTTCACCTAACTTGGCACCGTGTGATTGAAACTGTGATGTTGGCTTTGGCTATAGTTTTGTGAATCTCGAACCTAAGCCCCAGTAAGTCGCTAATGAACCTAAACCAGATCGTGCAAACAACACAGCCCGCAACTGTGGTCAACGGCCCGGACTCTTTGGTTTGGGTTTGATTGGTTTATTGCATGATATCCAACATCCACAACAGGACACAGCTAATCCCATGCCAAGATCAACTGGGAGTCTAGGACAATTGCATTTTCATCCTACAACCAACTACACTACACCCTCAAAATCTAACTTTCCGTTCATTTTCAAGAAAAAGATAGTAATAGTAGAGAAAATAAATTGAGAGTGGTAGGAGAAAGGAATCTTTTTCTAACATTGCATTTCAAGCTCTGTAGCATGGTCGTTGATGCCATTAAGCTGTACAGACTAGAGGGTTGTTTTCGTAGTTATGGTGAATCTCCTCCACCACCAAACCGAGATCTAGAGTTGGAGACGAGCTCGAGCCTTAATTAACCAAATTGTATTAAGACTTAGGAAAATTATAATCCTCCTTATCACTATCATGCCCTTAACCTTGCTGCCCTTCTTCTCCAAGTCCTATAGGAGAACTCCCATAGTTTTCGTGTCCCTGGCACTCCCTTACAACAAATCCACCATGCATCCATCCATCAAGTGAAGTTTCACTTACCTCTTCATTGGTAACAGTCCCTATGAACGTGAGGCCACGAAAATGATGTTAGTCCAAGAAACAACAGTCACTTTCCATTGCTAACCACATTTTGCATGCATGTTTATGAGGGCATTGCAACAACTCTCTCCCCGTTTGAGCGCTCCCAGATTATATAGCACCATAACAAAAGCAATCTCAGTCCATTCATCTAAGCAGCTCGATACCTTCAGTCAATTTCCGCAGAGTTTTTTTACGCGCATTTCATTAACCAACTTTTCTGCAACCTCAAACCCATTTTCAGTACATATGAATCATGGCATTGGCGTATGAAAAAATGCTTGTCCGCAGGAAAAAACAAAGTTTTATAACCGGCCACTGCACCGTTTTGTGCAGAGTCGAGCCCCGTATACCAGCACACGCCTCGAGGACAAAAGGCCCCATAACTCAGCAATTTCTACGCTAACGTATAGCAATGAGCTTCAGATTCTCGCGTCAATTACCAGACTTCTGTTATGCGGCTCTTTTATATATTCTCAAAATTACATAGTACTATCATTCACAACTCACAAAGTTCAAAACTTTGTACTTGATTCTAGCGAGTGGTTGTAATTTTCTATCAGAAAATCTCATTTTTTAATTCTTTGCGCAGCTCGGACATTATATATCAGTATGTAATTGGATATGAAAAGTTACGCAAAAATAGGGTGGTTTTAAGGGCTGAATCTTGGAAGTTTGTTGGCAACCATATCTGATTTAGCAAACAAAACCCAAATGTATCCTATTTTTAATCCTTCCTTACTCTTAAGAATCAACAAAAGTTTACAGCTTTACCCACACACTCACTTAAGATACATCACGGCCGCCTCCTCTGTTTTAGTGCCCAACACTCAGCAAATAGCCCACCTCATTTTAGAGCAAAAATCAGCAGACCAAGCTCTCCAGACATTCGAATGGGCCTCAAAGATCCCGGGCTTCAGCCACAACCCGTCCACCTACCGGGCCTTGATCCATAAGCTCTGTACTTATCGACAGTTCAAAATTGTCGAGCAAGTGCTCGATGAAATGCCCAAGAGAATTGGTTCGTGTCCTGATGATGACATTTTTGTTACTATTGCCCGTGGATTTGGGCGGGCTAAAATGACGATGCAAGTGATTAGAGTTCTTGATTTGGTGCCCAAGTTTAGGAAGGCTCCCCCTTCATTGAAGCTGCTGAACACTATTCTCGATATTCTGGTGAAGGAAGACATTGATATTGCAAGGGAGTTCTATAGGAGGAAAATGATGGGGTGTGGTATGAAGGGTGATGACTACACGTATGGTATTTTGATGAAAGGTTTCTGCTTGACTAACAGAATAGGAGATGGGTTTAAGCTTCTGCAGGTAATGAAGAGTCACGGAGTCAAGGTTAATGTGGTTGTGTACAATACGTTGATTTATGCCCTTTGCAAAAATGGAAAAGTCGGTAGAGCCAGGAGTTTAACGAATGAAATGGAGGAATTTAGCGACGTGACTTATAATATCTTTATCTCGGCATACTGTAATGAAAACAATATCGTGCAAGCTCTAGTGATGTTGGAAAAGTCCTTTAGTGATGGTTTCGTGCCAGATGCTGTGACCTTGACCAAATTGCTAGAGATTTTATGCAATGCAGGACGTGCATCCGAGGCTGTTGAAATTTTAGAAAGAGTTGAGAAAAACCGAGGGGCTCTAGATGTCGTGGCTTACAATACTTTGCTCAAGGGTTTTGTTCAATCCGGGAAAATAAAAGCAGCACGTGGATTTCTTAAGCAGATGGAGATGAAGGGATGTCTTCCGAACACCAAAACATATAATATTCTGATAAAAGGTTTTTGTGATTCTGAAATGTTAGACTCTGCTCTCGATATGTTTGGTGAAATGAAAAGAGCAGGCCTGCATTGGGATTTCGTCACATTTGATACACTAATTTACGGACTGTGCTCGTCCGGAAAGACTCGGGACGGGCTCAAGATACTTGAAATATTTCTTCAAGGCAAGAGAAAGGATTGGGTTCACCGGATTGACCCTTATAACAGCATTCTATACGGTTTGTACAAGGAGAATTATCTGGATAAAGTAGCCGAATTCTTAAACTACATGAAATTTTTATTTCCTCGTGCAGCCAGTCGTAGTTTGAGTATCTTACGATCTTGCGAAGATGGAAATATAGATGAAGCAAAACAAATTCTTGAAACAATGCGTGAGCAGGGTGATATTCCTAGTGCCGTCGTCTATGCAGATCTGATTCGGGTGTTGTGTGAAAAGGGGCACATGAAGGAAGGGGTTGAGCTGACAAATGTGATGATCGAGCATAATTATATCCCAATCGGGTCGACGTTTAACGTTCTAATCAGTGGGTTTTGCCGGCAGGGTAAAGTTGGGGCAGGGGTTAGGCTTTTGGAGGATTTGAAGATGAGAGGTTGTTTGCTCGACTCTGAAAGCTATGGCGACTTAATTAGGGCCTTTTGCAGCAAAGGGGATTTGCAGCAAGTTGTGATTTTGCTAATGCAGATGATGGAAATGGGTATTGCCCCAGATTATTCAACATGGAATATGTTGATTCATTTAGTATTTGAAGGGAAGAAGAATGCCTCAAACCACAAGCTGTTGCGGTGGTTAACTGAAACATGAATGTTGTTTTTCTTTTGTTTTGTAGATAGATTATGAGCATAGTACAATTTTTAAAACTTTACAAGTTATAACAACACTTGGATATTTTCACTACAAAACATTATTAAATTAAACAATAGTTACATACTAATTCATATATATTTTTTTTCTTCTTAATTCTTCTTATTATTCGTTCAAAAATTACGTACATAGCGGTATAAGTATAACAAACTGTAGACATACAATGAATGTTCTATAGTTTGGTGGTTGAAGCTATGGCCACGACAGTCGGTTCCGTTGCTTTCTATATGAAATTAACTTCCATACATTAAATAGCGATTAACCAAACTTTTGACAAATCCATTTATGGTTCGATTGTGTAGAGAGAAAAATAAGAAAACCAAGAATATATACGAGTAATTATTTATAACAATTATGAAAAAGATGTTCTTTACCCTGTCGTGCAAATTCTCAGCCCAGTCCTCGAAATTCCGAGCTACCCAGTTTCGGTTTTACAGTGATCGCCCACATTCTTCTCTTTCCAGGCGCACAGGTTAGTGCATGTTTGTGAAAGACAACACACGCGCACAGACCCATGTGAGTTCTGTGCGTGTTCATGATTCAAGAATCTGCCTTCTCTTTTGATTTATTTTTCCTATAATCCCATTTGGTGGTTCGTGCTGGGATTTTTTGGGGTTATCTGGCCGTTTTTAGAGTGTTTGCTNAGTATCCCTGTGTTAGCATCTGGAGCTATCTGGTAATTGTTGGAGTGTTTGCTTTCTCAATTGGTTTTTTTTCAACGTGTTTGTGAGTTTTTTTTCTGGTTCAGTGAAATGGATCCCTGATTGATTTTCCTTGTTTGGAGCTTCCTCGTCTATTATATGTTATGTGTTATGACATAGGAAATTGCTGCAAGTTCCGATCTTTAAACGTTGGTTGGATTTTTTTGAAGTACCCAGACATTAAGCTTCTTCCCAAGTGTTACGTACTACAGTAGATAATGTTATGTTTCATAATTGGCTCTGTTTTGTGCAGCAGTCATGAAATCATAAAACCATTAATGCAATTTGCCTTGTATGTCATCAGTGTTGACCTTTATTTTCCACGAAACACTTTTATGAGCTGAAAAATATGCATGTTATGCTGTATGATTCACTCCAGATTTTTCGGCCAATAAAATCATAGTACACTGCCATGGAAACTTCTATAGCTTTTAGTTACAAGGAATTCAGGCCGTGATTAAGCTTTCCTATCCATAACCAGATGAAATTAGATACCAACCCTCATTAAGTTTTGCTTTGAATTCTCACTCAGGCTTCCTTACAGGGCCACTTGCTTATTATAAAAGTCTAGTTGATCAAGGGAAGTTGAAACATGATGCTTGCCAGGAAAAGGTTGCTGTGGAACTTGATAGTTTGCTTGGGAGACTGGACCAATATGAGAAAGACATGGAGGAATACCATGTGGGATTTATGATTAAGATGATGCATTTCTTTCTCTCTCTCTCTCTCTCTCTCTCTCTCTCTCTCTCTCTCTCTCTCTCTCTCTCTCTCGCTCTCTCTCTCTCTCTCTATTGTCTGTGCTCATGCTCCTTTTTTTGATATGTGTGTTTATTATCAATTGATAGACGAACCTTGCTAAATGGGAAGAGAACCGGGAGAACCAGCGGCGGAGGCTTTTGATGGAAGAAGCCAAGTCAAAACAGGAAGGCGATCCTTCAACATCTGTAAACAAGCGCCGGAACTTTTTTCAAAAGTGGATGTCAAGGTGAGTCAACCAATTCCAATTCATTATGTTCACTTTTTAATTGAGGCATGTAAGGATTGCCTGTGAAGGAGATGCAAATAAGTCGCCTGTTTGTTTCATACAGTTGGAGTTTAAACCGTTTGAGAGAGGAACATTGGCCCCCCTTGAACTAGTGACTGCTTTAATTTTATTTTATCATGAGCTTTTGAATTAATGAAATATCGTATAGAAATCTGGAAGACGGTATGTTTCTTCTTGTTCATCTTGCACTTTGAGTGTTTCCTTTACTGATGATAGAATTTTCCCTGATTGATCAGAAATGAAACTGTTGAACCGGGAGTGGGAAAATGGGTCTCATACCTTAATCGAGAAAAGAAATTAGATTCACTGGTTGGCCAGTGTCCGACTGCTCCTCCAGCCCCGAAAGGACTTTACATCTATGGAAATGTTGGAAGTGGTTTGTAGTTTTTCTCTTTTACCCACTCCTTTCTTTGATTTTAAAGTTCTAATTATGTCACCTGTTCTTTCTTTAATTTAATTTAGGTCGCCATGCCACACCTTTCTTTATATGTATATTATTGATTTTTCAAAGACCTCTCATGTCATTGGAAAACTAAAGCCAGTAGGTTTTTTATAGGGAAAACAATGCTTATGGATATGTTTTATGGTGCAACGGAAGGAATTGTTCGACATAGGAGAAGGCTTCATTTTCATGAGGTAAACCCTCAATTTTTACTTTCCTTGATGTGCCATTGGTTATTTTTGATGACGTGTTGGGCATATGAAAGAACAATTCATAGAGTATCAAGCTTTTGTCGTTTTTTATACTGCACAAATTCTCTTAAAACATTTACAATTTACATTTTGATTATCAGTACACTGAGGATATTACTAAAATAAGGTGTAACGGACATGTATATTAGTGATTCGGTTGAAGGGCATAATCAGTAAATTTCAACTTATCCTCCAGCTCATTTTATGGTTTACGCCTTTTGTAATCTATTTTTTTTTTTTAATTTTCACTTAGGCTATGCTTCAGATACATGAGCTTATGCATAAGATATGGAAAGGTCAAGAGATGGAAAAGTCTCTTCAACAGAGCATTTCCAACTGGGTTACAAATCTTCCCTTTGATACAAAAGTTAAGGAGTGGCTAATTGAGGAAGAAAGATATAAACAAGAGATAAAGATGAAAAATATCCTTCCAGCTGTTGCCGACAAGTTCCTTGCTGACGTGCAAGGACATCAAAAGGGAGCTAGTATTCTTTGCTTTGATGAAATACAGGTAAGGTGATTTATTATATGAATTTACAAAATTGTTTTTTTTTTTTTAATATCATTGTTTTTCTAATATTACTACTAAGTTTTCTTATGTCCATCAATTTATTCCCTATAGATTGGACTAGAAAAACTTGAGTTAGTGCATCATGGATAAATTTGGCTTGTCCTTTTTTTTATTCTGTTTGCATGTTTCATTTTTTTTTCTTTTAATTTGATTTTGTGTTGCAGACAGTCGATGTATTTGCTATTGTGGCTTTATCTGGAATAGTTAGCCGATTATTGAGTACAGGGACAGTTCTTGTGGCTACCAGTAATCGCGCGCCAAGGGATTTAAACCAGGTGTATATTATTTTTGACTCAACAAATGCGCTTTTTTCTCTTTTTCTTTCATCTATTCCTGTTTTTGTTTATTTCAATTTTATGTTTTTTTTTTTCGTTGGTTTTTGTCAGGATGGAATGCAAAAGGAGATATTTGAAGAGTTTCTGGCCAAACTGGAGGACCACAGTGAAATTATTCTGGTCGGTAGTGAAATTGATTACCGTAGTCATATAGCACAAAGTTCAATCGATCAGGCAAGAACCGAAAGTTATGATGCTTGTCTTAGTCTGTAAGTTTTAGGGTATATGGAAAGAATTGCTTAAGATAAAAATCATAATATGAATTATCTTGGTTTTTTTTCAGACTCGTTTTCTTTGTCCTCTCAACAATACCAACGCAAAAGAATTCGAGAATATGTGGAACAAGATTGTGGGACAGTCAGGAGGGAGGGTCACTTCTCAAATTCTTCCCGTGATGTTTGGAAGGTGCTTTGACCATGAGACCTAACTCAGATACATTTGTGGACTTTTAATTTCTGATATTTGTATTTTCACTCACTTTTGTTTAGAACATTGGAAGTCGCTGAGAGCTGCAATGGGGTGGCACGTTTCTCATTTGAATTTCTATGTGGTCAACCGGTATGTTCTGCCTTTTGGATAAATATTTGTGTAAATATTTTACAATGAGAGAGTATGTTCTTCATGAAGAATTGAAGATATATTCGGCATTTTGTCGGACTCATGCATTGACTGAAAAACATCAATAGTCAACTTCATCAGTAAATAAAAGGGAGCTCATGCTGCAACCATAATAAATTAGTATACTCGAAAGTTAAATTTTCATACACTTGTGTGCAAGTTGTAAACCCTAGTTTATCTGCTTTGTCACTAGAAGTAAATAAAAGAATCATATTGACTATGTAAGCGTACCTTATGGTTATGGTATGAAATGGAAATCGAAACCTTGAATTTTTTATGGAGTTTCTAATACAACCGTGTCATATTTGTAACATTAATTCTACCAACAATAAATGCTTATTGTTTGTGGTCTCTTATCAAGCATGCAGATAGGAGCAGCTGACTATATTGCCGTTGCTAAAACCTACCACACAGTCTTCATAGAAGCTATTCCTGTTATGAGCATGCGTATACGAGACAAGGTAACATTATATTTTTATTTATCTCATATGAGATTGTTTACTAAATTTACCTCAGCTTTTGTTATCATAAGCAGTGATTTAGTTCATCTTACTATTACGAGTGATGTAATTTCCATTTTGTCAGGCGAGGCGGTTTATCACATTAATCGATGAACTGTACAATCACCATTGTTGTCTGTACTGTTCTGCTGCTGCTTCTATTGATGAACTGTTTCAAGGAACCGAAGACGGAACATTATTTGATTTGGAGAGGCCAGTATTTTTTTTTTTTCCCCCTTTCTTTCTGCGGCCTTGAAAATTGTATTGAACATTTCTAGTCCAAAGCCTGTAATTCATTTGATTGAACCTATAAGTGTACTCCTTTTTCCAGTTTTCAGTTTGAAACGGACATAGAAGGTTCTAAGCTGAGACGAGATGTTATGGCTGAAGGAAACGTGAGTTCCAGAAGAGCAAACACCACTGGCATTATTTCCATTCTTTCGGCTCAAGAGGAGATGTTTGCATTCCGTAGAGCTGTGAGTTTTCTTTTTCTTTAATCTCAAAAGAAAAAAAGTTGCTGTTGGCATAATTTCTCATTAATTAGCGGGCATAATTTCAGAATGCAATACTGCAATTATATTAGCGAAAATATGTTAATATTTTAAAATTACAAACTCCCCCTTGACATTTGTTTCCATTTTCAAAATCGCACCTTCAAGAGGATATTGGTAGATACAAAGTCATCGTTAAGATTGAGTAATGTAATTATCCTTAAAAAAACGTAAGACTATCTTAGGAGTTTTTATGTAAGGTGGAGTCATATAGAAGAAGGCTCTCGCAATGTAGAGAAGCCTATAAATGAAGTGCCCAGGATGTAGTTGCATTAATGTTCAAAGAGCTCAACTTTGAGTGATATGAAATGAAAGTAGTACGTTCATGAGAAATATATATATATATATCTTGGTGAGATGAAGAGACTGCTGACATATATGTGACATGAAATAGCATTTTATTTCAATTTTATTACATCCAATTACCCTTGGCAGTCAATGTAAAGAAGTCAATGTGATGCGTGTAGGTTTCTCGCTTGATTGAAATGCAAACGTCATTTTACATTGAAGGTGTTCGTTCCATTCATCCTTATTTCCATGAAAAGTCTAAAGAGATTCTGAGACGAAACATGGCTGGCGGCTAGTAAGCAACATTCCACCATGCGATGTGTTGTTTTGTATTCATTTAAGCGCATTTTGCATCTGGTACCGGACTTCAATTTCACGACGTTAATTTTTTTTTTATGTATTTATTTAATTATATCTTTTGTATGCTTCATGAGTTGGGAATCTAGAGAAGTGGCTTCTCTAGTTAATTTTCTTTTATTATTAATGCCAGAGTCTTGTTTTGCTCAGCCCCATCTTAATCTTATGCCTAAACATTCTCAAAAATCTGTATTAGAATGAAGAAATCGACATGTCATTAGAAAATCACATTCCCCAGAGTTTTATGCTCCAAAATGCCTAGTTTCCATGATCATGTAGTTTTTTTAAAATGATACAAAATAATTAAATAGAAATTACCTCAAATATCAAATTAATGGGGCATGCTTTGTCTTTTATTATTGGCCTAAGTAGTAATTTTTAAAAAATAAATATTACTAGCTTGTCAGTTTACAAATACAACACAGGTAAATAAATACTTGTATGAATGATGATCAATTTAGAGGTTAGTTAAATGTGTAAGTAAGTTTTCAAATAAACAAATTTACAACAATACAGCAATAATCTTGTCAAACAAGTTATCATTGAATATCAAATTTCCCAATAACTAAAAGTGCTTTCCATAGATTAACACACCAATAAATACAGCTTTTGAGGAGAAAAAAAGTTGGCAACTCCATAAGCACTACTCTCCAATGTGAAATTCTTAAACATGATGACTGAAAAATAAAACAAAATAATTTAATTTTTCAATGAAAGATTTCAATACAGAAGGACAAAATAATGTTTTCGAGTCACCCCTATAATTGTAGCATCATAATTAATAATAGCAAGAGGCAACAACCCATGATATAGATACCAAGTAAACCCGAACATCCTTAATTTCATGTATACTCCCTCCACTCCATCCCTGTCTTCTTCTATACACACACACACACACACACACACACACACACAGAAGTGAACGAGAAAGTCTTGTCTTGTCTTGTCTTGTGTGTATATATCTAGCAGTTGACCCCACACTGGCCTTGCGCGGCCCTCCTGGTGGCCTCGGACGTGAAGGGGTCTATGCGCACCCACAACAGGGAGAAGATGGATGCAAGCAGAATGGACCAGACGATGACAATGGTGGGCGTGCGGTTCTGCCTCCCGAGCAGACCCTTGAGGAAGGGGTAGAGGTGGACAATCACCCATATGGCAAAGAAGAGCTTCCCGAAAAGCGGGCCCCACGACTGGTAACCGCTGTTGATTGCATACGAGACCCCAGCCACAATCCCCACCATGTTGAGGATGAGCACAGTAGTCGGGGGAATCAAGAGGGAAGTCCACTTGAAAACGTACAGCTCAGCAAAATCCCCGTCATCATCCGATGCTTTTGATGTCACGGTGAAGTTGGTGTCGATCCCGGCTAACACTTTGAGAAGGCCCTGGAAAACTGCAAAAAGGTGGGCCGATGTGCCGCCGATGACCCAGAACTGCTCGTTACGCCACCAGTCTTCCACACTAACCCCACTCCACCGCATCTCCAGGATGCCAGTCGCAAATATGGACACAAACAGCAGAATGAACCACATGCTTGCGTAGTTGCTTATCTGTCAAATCGAAATTATAACTTTGTCTATGGAGCAAAAAAATATCGACCAGATGATTGATTTTTGGTTAACCACTACCTCAGGAATGATGAATTTGTTGGTGAGAAGACAGATGGCAGGGAGAATGCAATAGGCGAGCAAGGGAATAGAGGTGAGAGGGTAAACAATGGTGTTGATGTACGCGAGTCTCTCGAGGAGCTGCAGTTTGCCTTGATAGCCGTACCATATGGGACAATGCCTGCTGAGTAGGATTTCGATGGAACCCAAAGCCCACCTAAGCACCTGGTTCAAACGATCAGAAAGATTGATAGGAGCCGACCCCTTGAAAGCCGGGCGAGGAGGCATGCAGTAGATCGAGATCCATCCTCGCGCGTGCATCTTGAAACCCGTTAAAATATCTTCCGTCACAGAACCGTAGATCCAACCAATCTGAATCCAATTGAAATCTTTCAATAAGTTCAAATGTTTATCTTCATTAAGAATGTGAATGTACCGTACGTACCTCTTTGCCCCACTCAGTCTTGTCCTCGTATCCACAGCTGATGACATGGATTGCTTCTTTCAAAAGAGAAGCAGGATTTGTGGATGGTGGAATGCCTCCCATTTCCATGAAAGTGGCTGCAATGAACACTGGAGACTGACCAAACCGCTTTTCCAAGCTCCTCTGGGACATAAGTAGTGATTTCTCATCATCATATCCTGGGAAAGACCAAGAATGCAATTATTGTCTCAACATAATAATATTAAATATCAGTTGCTAGTAGGACATAGGATTACGGCATAATTGGCTCGGATTTAAGTTTTGTAACAGGCAGATTATTTATTTATTATCATCCCATGAAACGGAAAACACTCGTTATTGGTCAACTGTACCTTCTACACCCTCTTCCATGTCCTCCATGTTAAAGATGGGCATGGTTGACTCCGTTCTTTTCATTGCTCGCTTCTTATCAACATATTTCTTATTACTATGTCTCCCCTTCTTCCTCGGACCACAGCAACTTTTGACAATAATGTTTGGTTGCAAATCGTCTTCCGTCAGGACAGGGTCGTACCCGTATAGGGCTTGCCTATTAAAGCAACACCCAGTTCCCACATAAACTGGACCCTGAAGCCCATCTAACCCTTTCAAGTTCATCTGAAGGGAGTAATATTCAGTATTACACAACCGCATTAAAC